TGTGGCCAGGGAGTGCAGTGGAGGATGGCCCAAGTGCTTGGGCCCTGCACCCCATGGGAGACCAGGAGAAGCACCTGGCTCCTGCCTTCGGATAGGCAAGGTGCACCATTGGAGGGTGAACCAACGGCAAAGGAAGACCTTTCTCTCTGTCTCTCTCACTGTCCACTCTGCCTGTAAAACAACAACAACAACAACAACAACAACAACAAAAAACCGAGGAGATAGTGTTCTGGTGCAATGGGTTAGGTTGCTGCATATGATGTCAGCATCCCATATGAACGTGGGTTGGTGTCCTGGTCACTATACTTCAGATCCAGCACCCTAATAATGGGCCTGGGAAAGTAGCAGAGGGTGGCCCAAGTGTTTGGGCACCAGCACACATATGAGAAACTAAGATGGAGTTCCAGGCTCCTGGTTTTGTCCTGGCTCATCTCCAGCAGTTGTGGCCTTTTGGAGAGTGAACCAGTTGATGGAAAATTCTTGCTCTCTTTCTCTCTCTCTCTCTCTCTCACTTACAAGTAAATAAATAAATAAACATTTAAAAATAAAAAATAAAAAGAAATGAAATCAGTATATTGAAGATATATCTTCACTCCCATGTCCATTGCAATGTTATTCATAATGGCCAAGATATGGACTCAACCTTCGTGTCCATTGACTGAAAAGCAATGTGTTATAAAAACACAACAGAATACTATATATCCCTAAAATTTTGACAACAGTGATGGATCTGGAGGATATCATGTTAAAGGAAATAAGCCAAGGATGGCATTGTGGCAAAGCATGTTGGGCTGCATTACTTTAAATTAAAACATGGTAGAAAATCTATATAATCTTGTCTATAAAAATTACTACTAAGAGAAGGAAATGCAAGACACAGACAAGAAGAAAATATTTACAGAACATATCTGTTCTTGTATCTTGTATCTCAGATAGACATAGGATTCTTTTTTTTTTTTTTTTGACAGGCAGAGTTAGAGAGAGAGAGAGAGAGAAATGTCGTCCTTTTTCTGTTGTTTCACCCCCCCCCCCCCGGCTCAAATGGCCGCTACAGCAGGTGCGCTGCGGCCAGAGCACTGCGCAGATCCGAAGCCAAGAGCCAGGTGCTTCTCCTGGTCTCCCATGGGGTGCAGGGCCCAAGCACTTGGGCCATCCTCCACTGCACTCCCTGGCCACAGCAGAGAGCTGGACTGGAAGAGGAGCAACCGGGACAGAACCGGTGCCCCAACCGGGACTAGAACTCGGGGTGCCGGTGCCACAGGCATAGGATTAGCCTAGTGAGCCACAGCTCTGGCCAGGACTCTTGAAACTCTATAAGAAAAAAAAAATTTTAAATGAGCAAAATATCACCACATCACCAAAGAACACATATAAGTGGCAAATGATAGGAGAAAAAAATGAAGATGTTCAACATCATTTGAGCATACTATACACCTATCAGAATGGCAAAAATCCAAATCCACAAACTTGACAACTGCATCTACTGGTGAAGACAGGAACAAGAATGAAAATGCCATAGGCACTTTGCAAGATGGCTTGGCAGATTTTTACAAACTAAACAGTCTTAGTAAATGGCTGAGTAATTTTATGCCTAGGTATTTATCCAACTTATTTCAAATTTACTTCCACATAAGAACTGGCACACAAATATTTGTAACAGCTTTGATCATAATCATAAAACCAAGAAACAACAAGGCTGTCCAGGCAAGAGAGAATCAGTAAATAAACTATTGTGCATTCCTACAACAAAATAGTATTTTGAGATAAAAAGTGATGAACTAATGAGAAAACGTGGATGATTCTCAAGTTCATATTGCACAAAAAATAAACCAGACTGAGAAAACTGCATGCCTCATGATTCCAATTATCTGACATTCTACAATGAGTAAAACTATAGAGACCATGAAGAGATCAGTGATTGCCAGGAATACAGTGGTGAGGTGAAAAAAAGGGCTAAGCACTTTAACCACTAAGGATTTGTGTGGTAGGAAATCTATGCTGTATGCCACTGCAATAGGGAGAAAAAGACATTTAACATTTGTCAAATTCCATAGAACTTTACAGCACAAAAGAGTAAATCTTGGGGCCAGCACTGTGGCATAGCAGCTTAAAGCCCTGGCCTGAAGTGCTGGCTTCCCATATGGGCACCAGTTCATATCCTGGCTACTCCTCTTCCAGTCCAGCTCTCTGCTGTGGCCTGGGAAAGCAGTGGCGGATGGCCCAAGTCCTTGGGCCCCTGCACCCATGTGGGAGACCCAGAGGAAGATCCTGGCTCCTGGTCCCGGCTTCAGATCAGCACAGCTCTGGCTGTTGCAGACATCTGGGGAGTGAACCAGCAGATGGAAGACCTCTCTGTCTCTACCTCTCTCTATAATTCTTTCAAATAAATAAAATAAATCTTAAAAAAAGAGTAAATCTTAAATATATGCTAATTTTCACAAGTCATTGAGGAATCTCAGAATGGAGTATACAGTATGACCCCAAAAATTTCATTTTATATATATAGTATATACAATGAAATATATATATATGAAACAACATCATTGAAATGGGGAGTGGAATATTGATAATATTGATAAAAAACATGTTGACAGAAGAACTTGAAAAATAAATAGAGTCTAAAACAAAAGTCAAAATGAGCTTTACATAGGTACTACAATCTAGTTTATATATTTTCTCAGATGTGTGTGAGTTAGTGATTCTAAAACCACTGTACAGAGTATTGTATTGAACACTTAAGTATATGGATGGCAGGCATGGGAACCAATTTTTCATGGTTGGGGAGGGGTATTACAGAGAAGCAATGGAAGATGAAAATAATGAGCTATGTAGTAATACAGAAATACTTTATAATTCTAAATATGCTAAGATACACATATAACTCCTTGCTCTGTAAACAAAGAAGTCCTAGTAGCAATGACATCCCAGTATTAATGAACACATTGATAATAATACTTAGAACTTGGTCTCTAACACCATTCACCAGTAAAAAGAATGAAGATTCCTTAGAGAAATGGCTGATTCTAGGATTGGGGCACAAAATATACATGATGAATCTGGAATACATTATAGTGACAGAAGCTAAGGAAGTGATAAATACACACCCATGCACACACACATACACACACAATCACTGAGTTATGTCAGAGGGACACAGGACTTAAGAATAAAGACCTCCCAGTAACCAGAGCTAGAACAATTTGAACATCATAATAAGGTAGCAATGGTTTATAATCCAAAATATAAATTAAATATCTATGAATCATACATTTGTAAATGACTAAGTAAGTAGCAATTAGGGAGATGGATATCACTTTTATAATCCTCTTATGCAGAAGAATTTCAATATGCTTTAAGTTTTCACCTTGAAAGTAGAATATAACTTCCCACTCAAGTACTGTCTGTACCTAAATAATTTCCCCAAAACAAATGTAGAGAGAAAAAATAATAACTTCCCTTACATTGCAAACACTACATCAGCTGATGGTGAATATTAACATCAACCATAATAAGTTAAAAGTATGTGTCCTAAATTTGAAGTGAAATTGTGGTATTTTCTCCATAGTCTTCCACCTACAATCCAAAACCCCAGTCTAGTTATGAGAGAATCATCTGACAACTATAAATTGCTGGACATTGCAAAAAATATCTACACAATAGTGCTCAGGTTGTTGGTCATCATCAACCAGTAATATCTGATAAACTGTTATAAGCAAAAGACCCTAAGAAAATATGACTACTACATGTAATTTGGTCTGCTCGATCAGATCCTAAAATAGAGAAAGGACATTTGGGAAAAAACTGAAAAAAATTGAATAATGTATGGACTTCAGGGAGGAAGGAAATATCATTATATTCTTAGAATTATATCTATGAGCTATATTGAATCTGTCCTCTTTGTACTGATATAACATTAACATTTGAAAATAAAGGGAAAATGATAATAAATCAATATCAGTTAATTAATTGTGACAAATATGTTATACTAATGTAAAATTTTAAAAAGAGGGAAACAGAGTATGGCACAAATGAGAAGCCACTGTATTATCTTCACCATAACTTTAAACCTAAAGCTGTTCTAAATTTAAAAGTTCATCTAAGAATGGGAACATTGAAATATGAGAGGAGGATTTCATATGAAAACAATTGGCTCTTTCAGAGCAGTTTCTGAATCTAGATATAAACTAGTGTACGGTAACTGTTCAGGCATTGACTCAAAGTGAAAAGGCGTAACAACAAAAATAACATCCAGAAATACAACCCAGTCACACACCCCTCCATTTACAAAGGTTTGACCCAAATGGTAGTAAGATATTTGAAGAACTCTAGGGAAGACCAGATGACTAACAATGATGTTACACATAATTCTAACAGCACATGGATAACACACTGTTGTTTACAATAGCCTTGGTCTGGTGACCTATTTTTTTATAAATAAAGTTTTATGGGAACACAAACATCTTCATCTTGTCGCAAACCTCTTTTCTATGGCTGCTTTTACTTTCTAATGGCAGAGTTGAGTAGTGGTAACAAAATGTAGCTTTCAAAGCCTAAAATATTTATTATCTGACTCTTCACAGAAGAAATATTGCCAACTCCAGTAGTAGTCATTACCAGTCTTTTAAGCCTTTAAATGTCATGAATCCACATTCCCATCTTCTCCACAAATCCTAAATAGAATGCTTATCTGCTATAAATTTTGATCCATATCCACTCTATCCAAGGTGCTGCCTAATATGCTATACTCTCCAGCATGTTCTATGCATTTTCCAAAGGGAAAGCAAACATTGCTTTCAAATAAACAATGATTGGTCCCCGAGGACAGCAATAAAGAGTGAATAACCAGATAGAGAGCGAAGCATACAATATTAGTGAATGCAACCTTACCTGCAGCACATTGTTTTAATCCATTTCTCACCTCTCATCCTGGACCTCATCTCCTATCAGTGGTGGAAAGTGATATTAATGCTACAAGACTTTGGTCTCACACTCACAGAAAGAGTAAGTTGTTGATTCCTTGTTTCCAGCTTTCCTGATGGAAAACTGCTTCTTTCTTCTTTCCTTTTTTCCTGTCTTCCGTCTTCCATTCTTTCCTTCCATTATTTTGTTATTCCTCTTCTCTATTCAAGGTTCTTGTAAAAATTTGTGTTCATTCATCATTTGAAAATGTACTGCATATTAGAATGATGTCCAGGGCCAATAAGTCACAACTCTGAAAGGAATTCTTGTTTTAGAAGTCTTAGAACTCCAAAAACATTATGACTGATCAAGTACCATAATAAAAGTATAAATAGGACATCATTATGGAAGATTATTAGAAGAATTGATGTTTGTGTAACAAACATTTTCTTATTACTTATTCATACCAGAACTAGATAAAGAAGATATTTGGCCTTAAAGATTTGACTCAGAGACCTCTCACATATGAGAGGAAATAATCACAGAAAATATGAATATTCCTTACAGTTGTATAATACCCACCAGTTCACAAGTCACTTTTACTTTCAGTATAATCTAAAGACAAGCTTATAAAATATAAAAAATATATAACAGTCAAGAGAAGTGTACACAGTGTATGTGCATCCCTTCCACTGTTTTATTCACAAGTCTCTATTTCAGGATGATGTTTCCCACTAATTCTGGTCATCACTCACATTTATGCTAAGTTGGAGACTCAACAGTTGCACAAGATCAAGATCTGACATCCAGGTTGAAAAACGTGTGCAATCCTATCTGCACATCAACTTAAAAGTATGAAAGCTACTAAGCAATAGTGCTTGCTGCTTACGTAGAGTCATCAAGAGAGAATGAGGAAGAAAGGGTGAGAATGAGTGAGTTCCATTATTCTGGGGCTCTCTGGAATCCCATTTTCATCAGACTGAGTTTGCCTCAAGGGTAGGAAAACACATTTCACCGAAGCTTTTCCTCCCCACACTTACCACAGTGTTAAGTACCATGGTGTTCAATCAATTGAATGAATTTTACTTTTTCGTAATAATCTATTCTCATTATCCCTTTTGGACATTCCCTGGTGACACCTGATATCCTTTGCAAAGGCTCTTACTGCTTGCCCTTGTATTTGTCGAGGCTAAGTCCTATGGCTAGAACATCCCTAAACTAGATACTACCTAAGTTCTTATGCTGGTTCCACTTATCATTTCTGAAGAAGGGGGATTGCTTTGTCAGGAAGTGTTGATGGATAATTTTTTCAACAATTTTTCTCTTTTCTCATTCTTCCTTTCATTGGAATTGTTCTTTCTACCTGTCATGAGAAAATACCATCTACCCCAGTATTCATATCTTTTGGATGGATCTCAGAGAGAAAGCTTTTTTTTTTTTTCTTTTAGGACACTATCCTCAACTTACTGTCATATTAGCTTTGCACTTACCCACACTCATAATTTTTTTTTACAGGCAGAATGTACAGTGAAAGAGAGAGAGACAGAGAGAAAGGTCTTCCTTTTTCCGTTGGTTCACCCCCCAATGGCCAGTATGGCTGGCGCGCTGTGGCTGGCACACCGCGCAGATCCGAAGCCAGGAGCCAGGTGCCTCTCCTGGTCTCCCATGCGGGTGCAGGGCCCAAGGACTTGGGCCATCCTCCACTGCCTTCCCGGGCCACAGCAGAGAACTGGACTAGAAGAGGAGCACCCGGGACAGAATCCGGCGCCCCAACTGGGACTAGAACCCAGGGTGCCAGCGCCGCAAGGCAGAGGATTAGCCTAGTGAGCCGCAGTGCCGGCCCCACACTCATAATTTTAATCATTCTTTCCTAAGCACACCTCACAATGTTTTGCTTTGCTTTTGTTAATTCTCTATTAAGGCAAATGTATAACCAATATAAACTTCCAACCCACTTATAATCAGATTTCTTTCTGAAAGCTTTCCATTCCTAGAGTGGGCTGGTATAAATGACTCTGGGTTAGATCTAAAATATCTATCACTGAATGAGATATAGGACCCCAAAATCTCTCTCCATGTTTAAAGGGCATTTTTGATTCATGCTAAAATGGTTTGAATTTGTTGATATAGGGTATCCCAGACTAAGCCAAGTATTTCAGTGATGAGTTATCTGTATAAAGAGAGGACTCTCAAATAGACCAAGCATGACTGACCCTGTTGTTGTGAAGAAGGGTTTCTGAGTCTCAGAAGCAAAGCAAACAATTCTCCAAAATATTGTATTTCCAAGAAAAGTATTATGGAAATATGAACACCACTTTTATATAAGCCCTTCCCCCATATCTCTGATTTGGGTATATCTCAGGTTAGTTCTCAACACTTTTCTTGGATCCTATCTACTCTTCACAATTATAAATGTCAAGATAACAAGCCTGTAGGTGTTCTATTGCACAGTAGGGAAATAATAGTTAACAATAACATACTGTATTTGTCTAAATAGCTAGAAGAAGAACTTCTGAATGTATATACTATAAAGAAACATTGAATATATGAAGCAATGAATACTAATTATCCTAATGTGATCATTAAAATCTATGCATGTATCAAAATATTACATTGTACCCAATTAAAATGTACAATTACTGTTTGTCACTAAAAATTAATTAAAAAAAATCTCTAGGTGACCCAGAAAGTCAATATTGGTTCAAAATTTTCTTATATGAAGACTTCTTCAATTATCTCTATCTATCTCATTGTGTTGTTTGCAACATTACAAATTCTCTGAATTTTAGGACTTTATTTATAAAATCAGAAGCATTGTGCTCTCAAAGATTACTTAAAAACACAAAAATGCTGTGCAAGAAAAATATCACAATGATTGGCATGCTTTAGAGACTTAATAAATATTAATTGTATTGAAGAGAGTCAGTAAAGGGACAATTTTTTTCTTCACACACACACACACACACACGGATGAGAAAATGACAATTAACGTTCCCATCATACCACTGTTTATAAACAAATAAAGCCTCCATTTAACTCAGGGAAACACTCTTTTCTAAAAAATCTAATCCAGATCTAAAAGAGGACTAATTAGATTGATTTTGAATCATATTAAGATAGGAAGAACATACATTATAAACGAAACCTGCTTGGAATATGTTAAAATTTCTCAAGTTCTCTCATGTTCTTTCCCTTCCACTTGTCAAAGTTACAAATATCAAGACTCCAAAATATCTTGTGAAATGCAACATTTACTTTATTTCTGCTAAAAGTTGTTAAGTTGAAAATTTTCTTGCTTAAAAGCATGCTTAATTTTTCTGACCACAACTGAGTATCAGGGAACAAGCAAAAAGAGACCAGGATTCCTAAAATCTATATTGCAGTGTGTACACATTGAACTTACTTATTCTTTACTAACAAGGAATCCCTTGGATATTCACTTGAAATTATGTGCATTATCTTGCCACAATCATGATAACAACAGTTATTTGATATCTTAGTTTATAAAATACATTTAGTATCAAATTAAAGTGTCAATTACTAGGAATATTCACATGAAAAGATATTAAGAAACTTAAAATGACAGTAAAATAAGTAATAGTTAACACAAAAATTGATCAAAAATTTTAGTATAACAAGTTAAAAGTTCAATGCCATCATCATTATCTGAGGAAGGAATTTGTTGTCTGCAAATACATCCTGGGTAATATCAACAATACAACAGAGTTAGAAGCTGTAGACTCTCCCTCTGCCTACACAGAATAAACAGTGACACGTGAATCAATTATCTCCAAGAGAAATGCAGAAATTAGCTGTGAGTCCCTTGCATACCAAATGATTGAGAAAATATCCACATTGAAAGCAGTACGGAAAAGTGAGACACACTCTTGTCATAAACTCCACCCCCAGCATAGGACCAGACACCTGGGGGGAATGTCTGACTGCTAGCTTCCTCTTGAGAAGCCAAGAATATAGATTACACATCCAGTAGCACAACTGTCATGGCTGCTACACATGAGACTGGCTCCTAACTCACCTTCCTCTTACAGCTGATGGGGCTCAGCACTCACTAGCCTCCATGGACCACAGAGGATGCGAGAAGGGTTTTTAAACAGATGAACAATCACTCCCTTGTCCCTGCCCCATGGTTCATCACAGATTAAGCAGGCAATAAACCCCAACTCCTAACTTCTCCCTGGAAAAGTTTAGACTGCACATCTAATGTGCTGACTTTTCCAGCTATTTCTGGACCCCCTGGCTTCTAAGTTTGCTGCCTCTGAGGGCTGTTAAGAGAGGCACTCACTAGTTCTCTGAAAATTGAATGGACAGGGATACTTTATGTAACCAGAGAGGATTGAATAGGCAGTTGGGATATTCCATGACTCCATCCTCCAATTCATTCTAGTGATAAAAGCAAATTCAGGCCCCCAGTTTCTCCAGGTACTAACCAGAGACTGACTTCTAACTAGCCCATCTCTGAGAGCTTACAGGATCCATCATTTATGAGATCCATAGGGTAACAGAAAGGAAACTAATGATTTAAAAGAGCATGTGATCTGAAAGAGAATGCAAGCACTCATCAGCTCTACTCTTCCTGAATTGACACAAACAGGTGATAAACTCCATTTCCAAGCTTCTCCCTGAGGAAAGAAGGAAGTGGACAAGATATCTAGCATCCCTACATTCTGGCTGCTACTTGAGGGACTGGCTCATATCTTGCCTGTCTTGAGGCACTGACATGATTTGGTGTACCCCAGTCTCCTGGGAGCCACTAAGAATCAAGACAGTGGTTTGGACAGACATAAAGGTTTGAGAGGCTCCTAGAATCTCTAATTGAGCTGCTGATGAGGTTCATCTTCTATAAAAGATCTGTTTATAAAGATGAATAGATGGGACTGTTTTGTCTAATGTTCAGAACCAGAGAACCAGAAATTCTCTGGTTCTGAACATTAGACAAAACAGTCCCATCTACTCAGGATAAATATGCTCCAAATAAAAGATAAAAGATAAATCTCAGGAACAAATCCTAATAAAATCTTGTGTGATTTTCCTGAAAGGTAATTTTAAAAACTTGCATGAATATACTTACTGAGATCAGGTGAACAGTGCATTAAGAAGCAGAGAATTCAACAAAGATAGGAAATATTTTTAAAGTTGTTTTTATTTATTTGAAAGTCACAGTGAGAGAGAGAGAGAGAGAATGAGAATCTTGCATCTGTTAGGTAACTACCCAAATACCTGCAATAGCCAGTGCTGAACCAGGCCAAAGCCAGGAGCCACATGGGTGGCAAGAACCCAAGAACTTGGGTTATC